TTGTGTCTTGTTCAGCCGAAAGAGGAGCCTCTATCCTGACCCCAACATTGACCTGCATGGTCGACCTCTGTCAGTGAAGACCGAGCACAAGTTTCTTGGTCTCATATTAGACACTAAACTAACCTTCATCCCACACATCAAGTAAATAAAGGACAGGTGCTTAAAAACAATGAACATTTTGAAAGTGTTGTCACGCACTACATGGGGCAGTGACATGAAATGTCTAATGAATTTATATAAAAGCCTCGTACGCACATGCCTAGATTACGGTGCTATAATCTATCAGTCGGCAACACCATCAGCCTTGAAAATTCTCGACCCTGTCCATCATCTAGGTATTCGCCTGCTTTCCGAACTTGCCCTGTGGAGAGCCTGTACGTGGATTCGAATGAATGGTCGCTCCATTTACAAAGCCCTGTCCTTTTTGTACTTTTTGAAGGTGAAGGCAGACAGGAAACACCCTTGCCATTTCACAATTAATGATTTGTTGTTCTGGCTTGTTCGAGAACCGTCCTTCGTTTAGGCAGCCCTACGCGCTCCGTGTAAGGGGCCTGGCCGAAGAAACAGGTGTGCCTCTTTTTGAACACAGTTTGATGGCTCCTGCAACATATCTGCCACCGTGACAGTGGCAGCTTATAGACTGTGATGTCTCTTTTGTTGAAGTCACAAAGCACGCACCACTTGCACACATACACACATAATTCCTAGAACTACAACATAAATATATATGCCCTGAGTTCTTTACCGATGCGTCAGAGTCAAACACTTCTGTGTCATATGCAGCGGTAGGTCAATCCTTTTCCAAGGCCGGCGTTCTTCATCCTGTTGCAAGCATTTTCACAGGAGAAGCTTACGCAATACTGGCGGTTGTAAAACACATCAAACAGATAAAGTTACAAAAGGCAGTAATATACACAGATTCTCTAAGTGTAGTCAAAGCCCTGAAAACTCCTAAAGAACACAAGAACCCCGTGCTGGTGTCACTTCACTCACTTCTGTGCACACAGTACACATCAAAACAGCATGTCGTTGTCTGCTGGGTTCCAGGGCCCCGTGAAATACAAGGGAACGGTTTGGCCGACAATCTGGCTGTTTGCGCCAATGACACTACTCCCAATGCATAAACATCAGTCCCTGCACTTGACTTAAAACCTTTTCTAAAACGAAAGCTCAGGGGATATTGGCAGAGCATGTGGGATAAACCCAGGGCCCCGTGAAATACAAGGGAACGTTTTGGCCGACAATCTGGCTGTTTGCGCCAATGACACTACTCCCAATGCATCAACATCAGTCCCTGCACTTGACTTAAAACCTTTTCTAAAACGAAAGCTCAGGGGATATTGGCAGAGCATGTGGGATAAACCCACAGATAATAAACTCCATGATATTAAGCCGCAACTAGGTTATTGGCCGCCACTATCAAAATCACGACACACAGAAGTAATACTAACAAGGCTTAGAACAGGACATACACATTCTACACATTCATTTCTTTTGTCTACCGGCGATCCACCATATTATGAAAGATGTGGAAAGCCCCTTACGGTTCTCCACATTCTCGTCCAGTGCAATGAGCTAGATGCTCCAAGAAAAAAGCACTTTTTACTGCCCTACAGACAGGCCCCGCCGCGGTGGTCTAGTGGCTAAGGTACTCGGCTGCTGACGCGCAGGGCGCGGGTGCGAATCCCGGCTGCGGCGGCTGCATTTCCGATGGAGGCGGAAATGTTGTAGGCCCGTGTGCTGAGATTTGAGTGCACGTTAAAGAACCCCAGGTGGTCTAAATTTCAGGAGCCCTCCACTATGGCGTCTCTCATAATCATATAGTGGTTTTGGGACGTTAAACCCCACATATCAATCAATCGCTCAATTCCCTACAGACAGCAGCTCCCTCTACACCCTGGGATGCTCATCGGTAGAGATCCGCTTTTTAAACTGCAAACACTTTTCACGTTTTTAAAACATGTACATAGCTTTCACCCGATATTTTGAGGTCATCCGTAGCATGACCTCTCTAGAGTGGTCATGGCTGCGGTGGCAGCCACATCTTCATCATGGTTTTATTATCATGACATATTGCCATCCGCTATCACTACACATACGTCACGCCACTGTCATGATTTTATTACTTCCATGTTTTAACCCGCGTTAGAGCGAGGAATTTTAAGGCCCCTTTACAGCCACGCATCATATCATTGTTCATATCTGTAGTCAATTGAAATGGCGCTTTTTGGCCATCAATTGGCCCTTGTGCCACTAAAAACAACTTATCGTCATCATCAATAGATAATAATTACAGGCCCCTCATTACCGATCAGTTTCGGTTTGAGAGAGTTCCAAAAACTAGGTGCAACTGTCGCCACCTAGCATGTGCAACTATCGACCACGTCAGCACACAGAACTGTGACGCACTTCTGCACGATCCGCAACAAGAATTACTTTCGAATGGGAAACGGTACTGGAATGTCGTTAAACACAAAACTTTTTAAGTGTGCTCCACGGCCACGCACTCGCAACCAGCCGCCGAGAAATAGGGACTTCAGAAACTAACGCGGCAAAAGAAGAATGGCGGCTATGACGTCATCATAACTTGTTTTGTTGGCCGCAGCGTGGTGACGTGAGGGAAGTAAGGGGTCGCCTTGGGGTGTCTATAGCTCTATGGAGTCGGTCGCTCACGCACACTTCAAAATTAATTTAAAATACCTTCCAAGCTATATTCGCTGTTGATATCTTGCAGATGATAGTTCGCAAGAATCGACACCGCAGGCTATCACGACTCCGAAATTTTGTGTCAGTACACCTTTAAATGCAGTTTTCCCAATATTCTTGAACACTCTTTAAACTGTGCTTCAGGGGGCTGCGTTTCTAATTTTTTGTTTTACTCCCTAAAGATTTTTTCATTGGGTTTTTTGCCTGATGTACCGTATTTCCTCACATAATCCTCGCGCTTTTTTTTTTTTTTGGGCAGAAAACTGATGCCAAGTTGGTGGGTGCGCGAATTACGCAGGGAAAGCTTTCCACGAAAACGTACAGAGCAAAAAAAAGAAAACAAAGTGGCCGCAAATCGGTGTTCTCACACCAGCAACTAACAGCATGCATGCTTTGAGAAGTAATAATTACAACTTACCTCAACAATAAAAGCAGAGGTTCAACACAAGGCAAGATTTATTTGAGGCACAAAAAGTGGAAGCAAATAATCGAGAATTAGAATACCATACGCAAAGCCTATGGGCGTTGCGGGCGTAGTGGTAGCGTTTGTCACTCAGCATCATCATCATCATCAGCCTGACTACGTTCACTGCAGGACAAAGGAATCTCCCATGTTCCCTCAGATAACCCGGTCCTGTGCTTGCTGCTGCCAATTTATACCCGCAAACTTCTTAATCTCATCTGCCCACCTAACCTTCTGTCTCCCCCTAACCCGCTTGCCTTCTCTGGGAATCCAGTCAGTTACCCTTAATGACCAGCAGTTATCCTGCCTACGCGCTACATGCCTGGCCCATGTCCATTTCTTCTTCGTAATTTCAACTATGATGTCCTCGACCCGGTTTGTTCACTGATCCACTCTGCTCTCTTCTTGTTTCTTAAGGTTACACCTATCCTTTTCCTTTCCATCGCTCACTGCGTCGTCCTCAATTTCAGCTGAACCCTCTTTTTAAGCCTCCAGGTTTCTGATTCGTAGGAAAGTACCAGCAAGATGCAGCTGTTATATACCATCCCCTTGAGGTATAGTGGCAATCTACCACTCATGATTTGAGGGTGCTTGCCGAATATGCTACACCCCATTCTTATTCTTCTAGTTACTTCAATCTCGTGGTTCAGCTCCGCGGTTATTACCTGCCCTAAGTAGAGATAGTCTTTTACAACTTGAAGTGCACCATTACCTATCTCGAAGCGCTGCTCTTTTCCGAGGTTGTTGTACATTACTTTCGTTTTCTGCAGAATAATCTTAAGACCCACCTTTCTGCTCTCCTTGTCTAACTCCGTAATCATGAGTTGCACTCAACAGGGGCCCTCAAAAGGTAAGAGTAGGATGTCAGTGTTGGGCTGATGGCTATTCAACAGATTCGTCCGCAGTTTCCTTCTGAAGAAATAAAGTTTACCATCAATCCCAGTCATATGCACACGTCAGGCCCAACGCGTCTTGGTGGCTTTCAGCTGCCATCACCAGTAGCGAACAGAAAACTGGTCGACAACGAAAGGCCTACCGGTGGCCCCGTTGCTGTTGTTTAGTGCATGATCAATCACTTTCAACTTGAAAGCAGCCGTCTAGCTTCAGTATCGCCCCATAGCGTGACAAGATTACCGACACAACATGCAGAACACGCCGCAACGCAAACTTGCCACTTTGGCTTAGCTTGGATTGAATCTCCGTGCAATAATAGTAGGCCTAATGCTTAAGAGGTGGCACCAGATGGTGCGTGCTATCATCAACGGCCGGAACAAGCAGACGACATTATTGCAGCAATTTTCGGGGCTGCGATAATTGCTCGAGGAAAACAAAAACGTATTTTTGTTGGTCGATGGAGGGGTGCGAGACTTATGCGAGTGCGAGGATTACGAGAGTAAATACGGTAAGTGTGCCCATTGCAGCGTCGCTGGAGAAAACGTTAACTTCACGTTTTGGTGTTGCAAAAAAAAATGGTTGAAAGCGCAGCCCCCTTCAGCATACATTTGTCTGTGCGTACAGTAATTACCAACTATTTTTGTCATTTTATTAATCCTCCAGCGCTTCCAAGAGGCTCAATGAAGAAATAGTTTGTCTCTCATTAATGAATAAATGATTTGTCTCTCAATAGATTTTCTGCTGTCGCCTCGAAATTTTTATGGAAGCACTTCGAGGACATTTTTTGTCTGTGCCAACTTTCACGAATATCTAACCAGAAACAAGAAAGTTCGTTTTGAAAGGCATGTCCCTCACTTAATGCAGCGGTGAGATTTCTTCAAAAAGTGGGAAATAAATTAGGGAGTAAACTAAAGGACGTCCGTTTTGTTACTCACAGCAGCAAACAGCAGAGAGCCAGGCGGCCAAGCTGCAACAGCAGCAACAGGCAGCAGCCGCCGCAGCACAAGCCGACGACCAAGGTGGCGGCACGCGCGAACAGCAGCAGCAACAGCACGACAATGGCGGCGATTCAGAGTCCGGCGAAGACACGTTCCACGGCAATCAGAGCCACTCGAATCCTCCGTCGGGCAACTCAACGCCCAGCCCTGGCGGCGGCGGGGCCACCACGCATTCCGAGCACACAGACGAGTCGCAGCAGGGCGCTGCGCCGCCCACCTCGTCTGCATCGGCCGTTGGCTCTGAGCGCAGCAACGCAGGTGGCCTGCCCTCACTCGCGTCACCTCTGTCGCTGGCCCACCCGCTGGCCTCGCTGGGCTACCAGCACTCTCTGGCCAGCTTCGGCATCACTTCGGGCGGGTTCGGCGGCGCGCCGCACGCAGCGCACGTGTCGGCCGCCTCGACGGCCGCGGCACCTTACCTGCCCGGAAGTGCAGCCACTTACTCGCAGGCCCACCTGCCCGGACCATACAGCTGGACCTGAGCACAGGGTGCCCAAGGGGGGAGCGACGGAGCGGGGCGCATCGTATGCAACTTGTAGTCTCTTCTGTCGGCCCGCCCCTGAACCCCCGCGACTCAAAAGAAGGCCCGCGGTGTGAATCTCGCAGTATGCCCCCCCCCTCCCCCCCGTGTGCAGCAAGCCGTGCGGGAAGTGCTTTGCTCGTGTGCCAACTGCTGGACTGGGTAGCTTTGGTCCCTGCCTGGGTGGTGAAGTGCACTTCATGCGTGGACCAAACAGGAGATTTGTGTTTGCCTTCTCTTTGAGCTCTCATTGCCATCACGTGCTTAGCGATTTCCTCATCTACATTGTGCTGCGATTGCCCTCTTGTTGGCTGTGTTACGATTCTAAAACTTGTGTCATGGCCTTGTTCTTTCGTCACACACTTGTAAAAAAAAAAAAAGAATGCTGTCCTTGCGCCTTCAATATCTGTACCTCATTTTTTGCTTAGCTATCTATTTCTGCATGAAAATTTTCTCATCATTCTACCAACCTAATTTATTGCTTACAATCTGTGAGGTATTGCCAGTAGTATGATGTAACATCATTTCAAAACACAAAATGTCAATGAGGCATTCGAAGTGGTTGAGGTGCATTTGCGTAGCCACTTGCAGGACGGCTTTATCATCTTCGAGGCTGCCCAGGCGCAGTGCCATTTCTCATGTATCGTTTTTATGGGCCTAGCCAGTTTTTTTCTTGTTGTTTTTTCTCCCCCTCCCCCTTTCCTTCAAAAGCAGTGGGTTTGTGCTAGCATGCAGGGCCACCACAACCTGGCTTGTCATGCAGTTGTATAAAATTGTGTGCCGCCAAACGAGCTCAGAGGTGGGCAAATTGTGATTCGTGCAGATGGCTTGAGAAACGATGGGGCAAGTTACTTAACACGCCTTCTTCTGTGCCGGTGCCGCATTCTCTCTGCTGTTCTAAGCCAAACGAGCATGAATTCCCTTATTTTTCTCGGATGAACGTTTTGTTGTAGAAGACATCATGGAAAAAAAAAAACATGCAAGTGCAGATATTTATGCTTCCAGTAGTTTTCCAGGACCAGTGTGTGTGCGTGTGTGTGGGCCTCTCGTAGGGCGTATAACCGGCTTTTTAAAAATATGAACATTTTATCGCCAACGTCACGATGCTGCGCCATCCGTGAGCGTGCGAGGTGGGGCATTTTATTTGAGCAACCTTTGTGAACAAGGCACACGAGGTGGAAAAGACAGCAGTGTATGTTCACTAGCGAACAGACAGAAAAACAAACAATACTCAGACGTTGCATATTGGTCTGCGCTCGGCATTGTAGCTTGAAATGCAAGAGCATACGTTTTGGGACATGTTTTTACGCACATTGTTCTCAGTATTTTTCTCGGTGTTCTGATTTTTGTTGATTGCATTTCTTTGTACATGCTCTAATTGTGACTTTATTCTTCAATTTTAAACACATTGTATCACTGTTTCTGTAAACGGGATGTGTAGCGAATAGCCTATGTTTTTTACAGATAAGTGGACTGAGAAAAAAACCACATAGAAAGGAACACTGCAACTATTGTGATACGGCTCTATTAATTTAACTTGTCTTGCGTTTGACGCCAGTTTTATCTTGCCGTGAACATTGCATGTGTGTCGAAACCAATGTGGGAAAAAAATATATATGTTGAAAGGGTTGAATGCATGCGGGTCCTTTCCATTGCTTTTGCAAGCTCTGTATAAAAGAGCTGTGGTGCTTTTGCAGGCCTGGGTTGGCTCAGTCTCACTTCCCAAGTAATGAAACCCAGTTTCAAGTAATGCATCCATTTGGACGTGCACGTAGAGTATCTTAAAAAGAATAGACCTGTGTTACTAACTCTTTCCTTACCGTGCCATTTATAGTGTCTGGCACATGGTGGTGATTCAGCGTGCTGTCGGACACCGACTTGGGCATTTTTCAGCATGCGCTGCTGCTTAATATGCAAGTTTTGCTTTCTGGAGGCCAAACAAAACCTGAGGCACCTTAAGTAATAGCGCAAAAGTGTGTGCACCAAAACGTAAAGTCAGGGTCGTCGGACCTTTTGCACGCAACTGCAAGAAAAGGATGCGCAGTACAGCGTTGCATGAATATCATCTACAATGTATATTGCAGAGCAGTTAGTTTCATTGTAGTAGTTAACCTTAGCGTCCATGATTACATTTGCTTGGAAAGGCTGGAAACCTTAGGAAAGCACATACGGAAATTTTCCTTTTGTATAGTCTAAACAGTCTAGCATAATGTTTTTCTTTGATGAAATTGTAGTGTATCTCACAGGATACATTAAGTCGGATGCATTTGATCAACTGAATTGAGTATCGCACCTGCATATATTTTTGTGGCTAGTGTTTGAAGAAAAACGGAAAGGAAAGAGTTAAGCCATAACATTTGCATTATCCACGGTGTTGCCAGCTGGAACACGTTGGGTTATTAGCTCAAGGCACAGTCTGCAAAAGCAGGAACAGCCACAGGGCATTGTGTACGATAGAAGCAGCCAACTTACATGTGAGACTTTTTTTTTTTTTTCATCACTGTATAAAGTGCAGAGCAAGCATTTCTCTCGCCTCTCTTCTTAGTCCTTCAGTGGGCGACCTCTGGAATAAAAAAAAAGTGTCGAGGTTCTTAAAGTGTCTTGAGTAATGTCAATTGCTTTGTTGTTGTACATAGTGTGTGTTTTTTTTATCATCCCAGTAAATTTGAAGCACCTCAAGTGATTTTATCTTTTTTTTTTACGCTGTTCACACTTTTTATCGTGATTGTTCTATTGCGCATCTGTGAAGCTCGTCTCTTACCTGCCTCACCTGTTGACAAAAAACATTGCGACATTCTTCCCTTGAACTTTTTTTTTCTTTTCTTTTGGGAAGAAATGGTATTCTGTGTGTAGGCATGTATGCATCTGTGTGAAGCAGTTTCCAAATCCAAGGAACGTAGTGCTAATAAAACATCTTTTTTTTTTTTTGTTAAATATTGCCAGTCTGCAAAACTCTTTTACCTAGTACAAACGTGAGCCAAGCTTCTGGCAGCCAGTGTTTGGGATGAAGCTTGATTGCTGCTCAGTGCCATTGGTGTGTGCTTTCCATTCAGTCTGTGTGGCTGAATGCTCTGCTCGTGGGGTCTTACATTTATTGGTTTGGGTCGAACGCAGAACATTAACATATAAAGGTGATTGTCAGTGTAAACATATGGGTTACACTATGTCAGTGCTGTAACATCATTATGCTTCAATAATTAGTGTTTTCTCTTGCACTGCTACAGCTTAGTTACAGAGCCCTGCCAAGTTCAGTCGCTGGATTGTTTAGAATGCAGTATAGTTAACAAGGCTACTGGTGGCCCAGAAAGTAGATTGTAGTTGCTGTAATACAATTGCAACAAATCTTAGCCAAGTATTGCAACTTCTAGAAAAAAATTGCTTCATTTACGTGAATTGTGAGAGCTCGAATTTAAATCCGTTTGCCTGTACATCTGCCTAGAAAAAAATTGCTTCATTTACGTGAATTGTGAGAGCTCGAATTTAAATCCGTTTGCCTGTACATCTGCAGATCAAGGATGAGTTTTCTACCATATTAAAGTTTTTAATTTCCCCACCAAAGGCATTTGTCTTTTCGGCTTAAATAGGATCATTTGCACCGCACTCATTTCAGCAATTATTGAGAGAAAAAAATGCACAATCTCCCACTATAGGGAACCTTGAGTAGCTTGCGAAGCAGTGTATAGATTGATTAAAGAGCCAGTAAACAATCCCACGATCCAAAAATTGTGATAAAAAGAAATATGTACACTTATGCTTTGTGGGCATGCTGCTACAAGAATTTGTGCGAATACCTGCTATATTAACCCCTTAATGCCTGAATTATGAAAGTGCCAAAGAAAAGAAAAATTGTTTTTATTTTCTAGCTTTAAATAGCAACCTTTATATGATTCCACAGTTAAATTATCTAAAATGCACCCTTAATGCATACTTTTACACAGAAGCTAGGATCTTGCAATAAAAAAATTGACCCCGTATCTGCATGTTCCACTGCCAATGTTGAAAGACGATAGTCTTGCATCTGGAGAGAGTGAAAAAAATTGGCAGCATATCCATGGAGTGAATGATGGAGAGTGGGGTGAAGCATTCGTTTGTCCATTCCTTCTTGCTTCCATCTGTCTATGCGTCCGTCTGTGTGACCGTCCATTCGCCCGTCTGTTCGTGCGTTCATGCGTCCATCCATGCATCTGTTTGTGTGTCCGTTCGTCCATCTATTCAACACTCCAAGTACCGCCATTCGCATCTTTTCATCATATATTCCCCATATAGAAGCACCGCCATCCAGCGGACATTCCAAGGACTAAACGGCCCCGCCGCGGTGGTCTAGTGGCTAAGGTACCCGGCTGCTGACCCGCAGGTTTCGGGTTCGTATCCCGGCTGCATTTCTGAGGGAGGTGGAAATTTTGTAGGCCCGTGTGCTCAGAATTGGGTGCACGTTAAAGAACCACAGGTTGTCGAAATTTCATGAGCCCTCCACTACGGCGTCTCTCATAATATGGTGGTTTTGGGACGTTAAACTCCACAAATCAATAAATCAATTACTTCCCACCTTTAACCACCTCAAATTCTTGGTATATACTAGTACATTGTATTCATGGCACTGCGGCTCAATGCTCGCTAAACCTTTATAAAACTAAGGTGGTTACACCCAGCGAGTATAACGTAGCAACCTTTTCCTGTCAGATAGCGCTCAATGTGCATGCCAATGGCTGCTAATGGGAAATGAGAGACAGGAGAATTTGGCTTTTACTTACGGCTTGCGCTTCGTATCTACTTCCCACCTTTGACCACCTCGAGTTCATGGTATATACTAGTTCATTGTATTCAGGGCAGTGCGGCTCAACGCTCGCTAAACCTTTATAAAACGAAGGAGGTTGCACTCGGCGAGTATAACGTAGCAACCCTTTCCTGTCAGATAGTGCTCAATGTAAGTGCCAATGGCTGCTAGTGGGGAATGAGAGACAGAAGCATTTGGCTTTTAGTTAACGCGCACGCCGCGGACTTTTTATTGTTCAACAAAGCACAGGAGAAATCTCCGACCGGCACCACCTCGCAGGTCAAAATGTAACGCTTGTTACACACTACGACTACGAGGGACAAACGGGTGCTGCTGTAAGGAGCTTCGCCCCCAAAGGACATTCATTTGATGTTCTGCGCGAGAAAATTGTATTCTGGAAGCGCTGCGTTAGAGAGTCGAGGCACGTTGGACACAACCGCTATTTGGCATTAATCTTCGAAAATGAAGGAAGGCGTGCGTGCCCGTCTCGGAGGCCATAAGGTGTAGAACGCAAAGCAGGCTTCGTATAGGTCCTTGAAATCCTTGAAAACTCTTGAATTTGAGACAATGCACTTTCAAGGCCCTTAAAAGTCCTGCAATTTTTGCCATCCTTGAAAATCCTTGAATTACCTCAGCAGTGCATTCTCGTATCGACATTGCGACTTCTTAAATGTGGTACATCGGTGTGTGAACCTGTCAAACTCCCCTTTTCTGAAGCAGTAATGCGGCGTGGGTGCATGTGATCCCATTTTGCAAAAGTGCATGTGAAAAAAAGGTAGTTTGTGGCGAGGGTAAAGCAGTGAATGTGATAGCAATAAATTAGAATGTCACACGAAGAAGGCCAAGCAACCGCATCCATGCAACGCGCTGATCAAGCACGAAGGACGCACGAAAAGAAGGCGCACAGGACGAGTGCTGATGAACGACTGTCAGAGCTCGACACTGGAAACGTGCTGATTAAACAAACCAAAAACGGTGCTAGAAAAGAACACATGTATCCACAGGGTGAGTGTAAATTAACCACTGTCACAGTTGTTACTTCTTGGTTGTTGAGCAACGTGCTGCGAGTGTCAACTGTGCACAAGCCGGCACTCTTGATGGTGTTGTGCCTATAAATTTCAAGGCTATAGCAAGCACCTTGTGGGTTTAAGAATATATTTCAAGTCACTTCCCAAGTGTACCTGAATGCTCATTCTCCTAATTGATGCCCATCCCGAGCGCATCCAACACTGACGTAACTCTATAGGAAGGGCAACAAAAGTTCTAGTGACGTCACACCAGATCTGTAGTCAGCTGAGTGACTTACGGACTTCTGCCCGCACATACCGGCAAGACGTCGTGGTTGCTGCAGGTAGCGGCGAGTTTGTTTTGCAGGTGCTTGTGTGGCACATGTGTGCGAGAGTTGGCATACTCAGCATGACGCGTGCAAAGCTTTGTGATCACGTGACTAAATACCTCCACAATTCGGTCCCCACAAACAGGAACTTAAAATTGTCCATATCAAAAAGGCGACGAATTATATAGCGAGAATAAATTAATCTTGGTGCATGTATCGTACTTATTGAAGCTATAATTAAAGCTTGCAGCAAAGAACGAGCAAGCCAAAAATATTGTGGCATGACCACACATGCACGTGGAAGCCTATAAGCGCGTAACTTTCCGACATGACATCGAGCCCTCTCTTTATGGAGAGGATGCAAGAAGTTATTAAGTGTGCTTTTTTTGTAACTGCGATATCAATATATTATAAGTGCAATGAAAGTGGTCAATTTTATTTTAGAGGGGATAATTCCAACTTATCATGCCGCTTTGAGTCCTCAAAAAACCCAGGTCCTGTAATGTCTATGAATATCCTTGAATTAAACCTGTCCGAGAACCCTGCAGAGCGACCGGCAGGTGCCACCACCGTGTCGTCTTAGCTAAGGTACAGTGAACTAGAACCTTCTAGTTCACTGCAGCTAAGGTCCCTAGATGAAACAAGTTTCCAAGGTAGCGACACCCTCCCTTTTCCTCCTCGCTTATTTGCCTGAAGCGCCCCCTAGAAGGTTTAAAACTTTCATCCAAAAGCGAATGTTTGGGTTCTGTTGCTACGGTGAATAGATGTAAATGAAACAAAATGGAACGAAATAAGACGTAGAATAAACAGTTACCTTTATGAACATAAACGGCACAACACAAGAGCAAGCGGGATGTGCGTTACTCAACCGGCAACGTTGTGCAGTTCTATACTTTACACCACGGAGGAAGGAAAAGGTAAGGAGAGGCCCTGACGTCACTCGTTGTGAAGCCGCGATGAAGCCGGAAGTCGGCCATATTGAGTAGGCAAATTCTCCTCTCTTGTTTACATATGAATGCGAAGCAGAAGGCGCGACTCCCTCTCCGGCTCGGAAAGCACGTGGGCTGCGCAGCGCGTGTGTCGTGACGATCCGAAACTAATGGAACTGGGCTCATCACTCAGAGCCAGCGGGACACCTTCAGCGAAATCGCTTCGTCCGAGTATTAACAAAAAGTAACAGCTCGCTGACAACGAAGCAACTACGAAAGAACGCGCGCTAGATGCACTGACAACGACGAGTGCTTTCACGTCATTAATTCAGCAACTGTACAGACAACACGATCGGTCGTGTGCCTTCTACGGTTGCATTCCGCCAAGCGACTGACGCAGCGTCCTGCCACTGTGTCCGTGTTCCGCGTGAAACTCACCTGCGTCAGCATTCTGCGACCGTGGTGACTTTGAGCACGGTGCTAGTGACAGTTGAACGTGGTTGCTGTTACGTTGAGATTACATGCAATGCTGGTGGAGAGTGTACCAAGCGGAACAGAAAAGGTGTTTTAATACGCACATGCAAGTTGTTACTGTACACACACAACACGAAACTATGTATGTGCACATGGTCCTCACGGCGTCTTGCTGGGCTCAACAGCGTCGTCCGTTGTCACAAGCAGGAGCACTGCTCAACCGTCACTGACCTGCAAGTTCGTCGTCATTCAGCTTCGTCATGGTGCCCAACGCCATTTCGCTGAACACTAACTGCTTCATCCGCGTCATCCGCCGCACGACACATGGATATGCACTTGTTCTACGCACTGTTGAAACCCCGTGATGGACAAAGAGACTTGTAAACGTTGCTAAGAGTAATGTAACAGCCAGACGAACACTGCGTAACCAATAACGCGGCGCAGAGCACAGATATTGTCCGCCACGGCTCAGCACGAGACCTGGGGAGGCACACATTCTGCCGCCAGCCGCGGCCGCTCACTGCTAGACCAGCTTCACTGCGCAACACGTAACCATAACAACGCCGCCATTGTGCCTACTGATAATGGCTGCCATGATGTCATTTCCGCCACACTTTTTACGCCCTGCACCGACTGGGCATGCCCTCTCCTTACCTTTTTCCTTCCTCCGTGCTTTACACCACTAGCCATGGCGCCTCGCGTAGTACACTTTAGTTCCATGGCCGCGGTATTTCGTCCAGTTCCAACTAGTCCACTTCTCCGATTGTGTTTTGTTCGTGCTGTGACACAGTGAACGTGCTTCTTGCTGGATCCTGTAAGTGGCCACAGGGCGTGACGTTGTGACGATTGATTACAACCGGCTTGTGCACTCGCAAGAAAAAAAAAACTATGACCAGATTGGTACGAACACTCGTCCAGCAGCACTGCGATGACGTTTTTTTTTTTTAATGTGCTCATTTGGACAATCGTGATGCCAAGGGATTCTGATGCGGTGCTGGGAACTTCCTGAAAAGTGAGAGTTCTACTGGTGAGGTGTCTCGAAGCA